ACAGTTGTACTGCTGCAGGTTTTTAACTGTGGACTAGAGATGTAAAACTTTAACCGATTACCTGAAAAACATTATCCTTACCTGCATGCTTACCCAGTAGCTAGTTAACCAAAGGGCCAGGCCCACTATGAGCCCTCTCAGTGCTGCACCCAGACTCCCTGTTATATTACAGAATGCTGCTGTGGTACAGCTGCACCAATACAGTTGTACTGCTGCAGGTTTTTAACTGTGGACTAGAGATGTAAAACTTTAACCGATTACCTGAAAAACATTATCCTTACCTGCATGCTTACCCAGTAGCTAGTTAACCAAAGGGCCAGGCCCACTATGAGCAGCCCCCCCGTTGTGGAGTAGCCAGCAGGTCCTCTGTTCATAGTGATCCAGCCAGGGCAGCTCTCCAGCTGTGGCATGGCAGGGCTCACTGGACATGGAATGGCAGGAGCCCCTGGCCAGAGCAGCTCCTGGCCACACTTTAGCAGACCTGGCTGGCTGAAGCAGACCTGCCCAAGGAGGGATTGGCTGAAGGAACCCTCTCCCCACAGCAGGCTGCTAGGCAGGACTCCAACTGTGGTGACCCATGCCTGGAGCAGTCCCCTCTATAGGAAGCCTGCCATTCATGGTTAGCCTCTTAAATGATTAAAATTGTATCTTTTAACCAATTAACTTTTAAAATGAGTATTTGCATGTGTGATGGGACGGCCCCGCCCCACACTCAAGCCCAGGGCAGCCACCTGGTGCTGGAGGCGAAGAGGGCTCCACCCACACAGCCCTACTGGGCATGCTCCCAGGGGGACCCGGGTATAGAAAACTGCCGGCCTGCTCCAAGAGAGGGACTTTGGGACTAGGCTGCATATTGAGGACTAGGCCAGGAGGCCGTATTTCCCCTAAAAAAGGGGCATCGTGCTTTGGGCCTAGACCTGAGCAGGCTGGATTATGCTCCGGATGGGGGCGGCAACCCCGAGTGTGAGGCCCCCGACACTGGGATAAACTATGCCCTGGCTATTCCCCGACTCTCAATATCAATAGGATTCGTCACTGGTTAAGGAATAGCTACCCCGTGGGTGCGACTCACGCCGACCGGTGAGACTGCTACGGGCCGGGGAAAAGGGGTAGGAATTGACCCAGGGCAGGGAGCTGGAAAAGCCCCTGAGGGCTCGGCGCATTGTGGGGAGGAGCCCCTGCCGAGCCAGTGGTGGGATCCAGCTGCTGCTAATAGGGCCCTGGGTCGGGGTCCAGTGGAGAGGGGGGGCCCAGGTCCCGGCGGGGGGCTGGACTCGATGGCCTCTCGAGGTCCCTTCCAGTCCTATTATTCTATGATTCTATGATTCTATGATTTCCCCTACTGTAGGGGCAGTGGACTTTGAGACTAGGCCAGTGGGCCATATTTCCCCTAAAAAAGGGGCATCACGCTTTGGGCCTAGGCCTGAGCGGACTGGATTATGCCCCGGATGGGGGCAGCAACCCCAAGCGCGAGGGGAGACCCCCGACAGCATGCCTAATGTGAACAAGTCTTGAATACCTTTCCCAGACTTGAAGAAGAGCTCTGGGTAAGCTCAGAAGCTTGCTTCTCTCCCCAAGAGAATTTGTTGCAATAAAAGATCTAATGTGTGGAATCACTGTTTCTTGCACAAGAATTATGATGCTCCCACTCAGGAAAAACCCCTCTTGCACAACTGTTCTTGCGCAAGAGGCCAGAGTAGACAGGTTACATCAATTTCTTGCGCAAGAGAGCGTCTACACTAGCACGGATGCTTTTGCGCAAAAGCATATCTCTTGCTCAAAAGCACATGCCAGTGTAGACGCTCTCTTGTGCAAATACTTTAACGCAAAAACTCTTGCATTAAAAGTATTTGCGCAAAATCTTGCCAAAGTAGACGTAGCCACCTTGTCTCTCCAATCTCCTGGGAGCAGACGTGCCAACTCTGCAACAGATCATGATAGTCCTAATTTCTGAATAAAATTAATCCTCACTCATGATTTCTTGAAAGAAAACTCAAATGTCAAAATTTGGTACAAATGTTTATCCAGTCAAATAAGAGTTTCCTCATCCTAAAAAAGGAATATGTTTTTCCTTTCTTAATACTTTGAAACACAATCAGAAGTCATCTCCCTTTGTGTTGCTTAGTATAATTTCATCTTTTATGCTCTCAATCAAGAATTTACTTGCGTATCAGATACACAAAGCTATCAAGCTAAAAAGAGACAGTGTGGCTTACCCTAGGATTGTGCTCATGAAAACGTATGGCACCAGTAGCAACAGAATTTCCTGCATTGTCTGCATGGCTGTGGGTGTTGACACGACTTCTAGATGAGAGAGGCCCTTGATGCCATCCAGTGCAGCAGGCATGGTTCGGGGTGGACTAGATCACTCAGGTTGAGCTTGTTCCTAACTCCCTGACAGAAGGGTGGGCCTTGACTCGCCTCCTTTCCTTACCCTAGGATTGTGCTCATGAAAACGTATGGCACCAGTAGCAACAGAATTTCCTGCATTGTCTGCATGGCTGTGGGTGTTGACACGACTTCTAGATGAGAGAAGCCCTTGATGCCATCCAGTGCAGCAGGCATGGTTCGGGGTGGACTAGATCACTCAGGTTGAGCTTGTTCCTAACTCCCTGACAGAAGGGTAGGCCGTGACTCACCTCCTTTCTTTTCCAGAATTTGGGAAATCTTCCCCTCACAAGTTTCTTAGGCTTCTTGCATGCAGCCAGGGAGAGGAATCGGTGCAGGTTGAAGACATCACCAGTGGGGCACTCCACACAGATGTCATGGTACTCAGGGTCAACTTGGACCTCTGCTTCAGTGACAGTTAGCATGGACTCCATCAGGAACACCAAGAAATGTATGTCTCTCTTCCTCTTTGTCCAGGATTTAAATAACTTACAAATGTGACACTTGTCACTTGTGTCCTTTAGCTCAGGCCTACACAACTCGGAAAGCGGTGAGAGCCATGTTATTCCAAAGAAGACATCTGCGGGCTGCAAGTTGCTCAGGCCTACACAACTCGGAAAGCGGTGAGAGCCATATTATTCCAAAGAAGACATCTGCGGGCCGCAAGTTGGGTTGTCAGATGCTCTCTCAAAAAATACTGAACACACGGGCTAAAAATTTTTGTTGAGCAAGAAAAAAAACCACACGTGTCAAGATTTTGTTGAATACATTCACACACAAGGTAAAGACTCAGTCACACACAGAGAATAAATAATTCTGATACAAGCTATACTATTGACGGGGCATAGATTTTACCAGCTTGTGAGCTGTAACAGGGCGACCCGCCCCGCACTCGAACAATGCCGACCCCCATGCCGCACAGGAAGCGTGGCGGTCTGACAGCGGTCTGCGCCATAAGTCCTGGGACAGGAGCCGGAAGCAGGGGCGGGGCCAGAGCGTGCGTGCGTCCCTGATGTCATGGGAAGAGGTGCCGGCACAAGAGAACACCGCATTCAAAAGGGGAGTAGAGCAGAGTGGAAGAGAGGAGGGAGGCAGAGGAGAGCAAAAGTTATTTCCAAAAGCCGTCGCAGTCCGCACAGTGAACCCCTTCGGGCCGCATGCAGCCCACGGGCCATATGTTGTGCAGGCCTGCTTTAGCTAGACACCACTAACAGCTACAATGAAGAGAGAGTGGGTGGTGCCCCTTATACCGTGCCATGAGAGATCAACTTCAGAGGGTGCTGACCCACTTCCCTACAGATACTGCTTAGGGAAAAATGTCTGACATCAGTTCATGTGGCAAGCACACACAATGTGAAATGGACATGAGCAATCACTCGAACAACCCCAGGCCTCGGTTTCCCCTATCTATCCAACCCAGTAACTATGGAGAAGAAGGCCATAAAGTTAAAGCCAGTAAAAACAGGGATGATTAGCTATGCTAGACCACGGAATTGCCAACTCCCTACCATTCTGAAGGGGACCAAGACTAGGGGGAAATTGAGTCATAACAAGGACTTGACAAACATGGAATTGGGTGAGGTGCCATAAAAGGTATAGCTCCTCATTTTGCCACAAAGGAACTCTAACAGACAAAGACGTCATAGTACAAACCACAGGAAGTAAAATCACAGTTTTTCTATCACAGTAAGTAAAATACAGCTAACAGACAAAGACGTCATAGTACAAACCACAGTAAGTAAAATACAGTTTAAAAAAATGGATGGTGTTGCCCAGAAAAGAGGTTTGGCTGGCAATGAGATAATTCAATAAAGCCCGATCAGCAGTGATTTTATATTTCCTTTTTATATAACCTGTTCTGTTCTATGTCTGTTCTTATACCATGGCACATTGTCGCAGTATCTGAGCATCTTCCATTAGTGCATTAATATCTGTCACATGTTGTTTGTTCTCTCATCCTCTCGCTGGGGAAAGAAGCCTGGCTATGTCTAGACTACAGGGTTTTTGTGGGATACTGGAGGTATCCCGCAAAAACCCTGCCATGTTCAAGGAACGCGTTTGCTCTCCTGCTTTTTTTTGCAGAAGAGAAAATGCACTCTTTCGGGGAGCCCTGTATACCCCTGTCTAAACGGTTCCAAATGGCGGAAAAGCCTCTTCCAAAAAAAAAAAACAGCAGAAAAGCTACGCAAAATGCGGAGTGCATTTTGCATAGCTTTTTCCGCAAAAACGATGCAGTCTAGACCTAGCCTGTGCTTGGATTGTGGAGCATCTGCATTTTATTTTGGTACAGTTTCTTTTAGAACCAAGTATTAGTAGTTACTGCAAAAAAGATGTAAAATCAACACTGAAAGGTGGAAAGAACGATGCTCTATCTTAAGCAGCTAAGAATATGAAAAAGCCCTCTATCAGAGAAAGATTAGATCATGTGCAAAATCTGTAACAACTATGTGGGATGAAATTTTTCTTCAGAATTAGCACAAATATCAATTAAAAACTGCGTCTGCTTAAACATGGCTGATTTTGTTCCCATGTCTGACCCATGTTCTATTAAAAAAAAAAAAAAAACACTGAGACAGAAGTTGAACTAGAAGCTTAGTAAGGATGTCATTTACCTTTTCATGATCTTTATTCTTCACTAAAGACTGTGGATCCTCTCTAGCCATAAGTGATTGTTTTATAGCTCCCTTTATGATCAAAGTGGAAATATTAAAAGGTTTTAGCTTCTGGCTACAGTTTAAATCAAAAAGTGCTCTCTTCCTTTCTTTCACTGTATTCCAAACAAGAGCTCGAATGCAATATATATCCTGGAAAATAGGAAATGTATCAGTTAGTTCCTGGAAGACCAGGCCAGAACTAAATTATGGCTGCACTAAAAAAAAAGAGAATGGGAACAAGGGGCTTTTCCTTCCAATTTCTCTGTAGTTAAGGGGTCTGAGCTAGCAAAGTTATTAGTTATTGTCTAGAGATGATATATGTCTGGGCAAAATGATGGGACCTGATGCAACACTAACACTATAGGGGTGGGAAATGGCTAACCTACCTCTCATAACTGTTAAAAACATCCTTTAAAAAAAACATTGACAAGTCCTGTGGCACCTTAGGCTGTGTCTAGACTGCAGGGTTTTTTCGAAAAAAGTAGCCTTTTTTTAAAAACTTTCCCTGCGTCTAGACTACAGCCGCGTTCTTTCGAAATTAAATCGAAAGAACATGGCTTTTCTTTTGACAGTGGTTCTCCTCATTTCACGAGGAATAACGCCTTTTTTCGAAAGTGCTTTCGAAAAAGTGTCCTTTAATGCAAACTATGCTTTTTCGAAAGAGAGCATCCAGACTGCCTGGGTGCTCTTTCGAAAAAGTGGCTTGCTTTCTCGAAAGTACTGCTTGCAGTCTAGACGCTCTTTTTCGAAAGAGGCTTTTTCAAAAGTATCTTTCGAAAAAGCCTCTTTCGAAAGAGGCTTTTTCAAAAGTATCTTTCGAAAAAGCCTCTTTCGAAAGAGGCTTTTTCAAAAGTATCTTTCGAAAAAGCCTCTTTCGAAAGAGGCTTTTTCAAAAGTATCTTTCGAAAAAGCCTCTTTCGAAAGAGGCTTGCAGTCTAGACGTAGCCTTAGAGACTAACAAAAACATATGTATAGTATCATAAGCAAAATTCACTTCTTCAGATGAGATGATCTTGAGTGGAAAAGGGGGGACTCTCAGAATAAGAAGGGAGAAAGGAAAGAAAAAAAGTACCTGTCAATTCTAGTCCTGGTGCTAATGAGGCTAATTTAGTAGGCTGGAAATGTCCCATACTTAGCTTTTGATGTCAATAGGGTATTGAATGTAAAGAAAGCTAGGCTATGACTACACAGCAGCGTTATTTCAGAATAGCTGACGTTATTCTGAAATAACATAGTCCGCATCTGCACACAGTTATTTTGATATAATGTTGAGCTGGAGGACTGCTCAACCCTCAGGCTGCGTCTACAATGGCATGATTTTGCGCAAATACTTTTAACGGAAAAGTATTTCAGTTAAAAGTATTTGCACAAGAGAGCGTCTATACTGGCATGTGCCTTTGAGCAAAAGATTTGCTTTTGCGCAAAAGCATCCGTGCCAGTGTAGACTCTCTCTTGAGCAAGAAAGCTTCGATGGCCATTTTAGCTTCTTGCACAAGAAACTGATGTTACCTGTCTACACTGGCCTCTTGCGCAAGAACATTTGCACAAGAGGACTTATCCCTGAGCGGGAGCATCAGAGTATTTGCGCAAGAAGCACTGATTTCATACAGTAGAACATCAATGTTCTTGCACAAATACTCGCGGCCAGTGTAGACAGGAGGCAAGATTTTGCTCAAAAGTGACTGCTTTTGTGTAAAATCTTGCCAATGTAGACAGCCTCATTGTATGAGGAGTAAGGGAAGTCAGAGGAAGAGTGCTCTAACTCAAAATAACTGCTATGTAGACAGTGCCAAAAGTCAAAATAAGCAATTTCAACTTAAGCAATGCAATTAGCATAGCTCAAGTTGCGTAGATTATTTCAAGTTAGCCCTACTGTATAGACATGCCCCTAGTGTCCTGAAGAAGTGGGTTGTGCCCATAAAAGCTCATGATACCATCTACATTTTTAATAGCCTCTAAGATGCTGCAGAAATATTTGTTGATTTTAAGTATTATAATATGTTAACCAGTTCAAATTTGTTTATGAAAGTCAATTCCACACTTTCTCTCTAGTTGGCTTTTACAATTACGTTGTAGAAGAATGGTTACTTTTAAGTTCATTAATGATTGCCCAGGTAAGTTAAAATGTTCCCCTACAGGTTTATCTGTTACTATTTTGAATAACTGATTTGTGTCCATTAATCCTTTTTCATAGAGATTGTCCAGTTTGGCCAATGTACATGGCAGAGGGACATTGTTGGCATTTGATGGCATATATTACATTAGAGGATGTCCTAGATAGGGACATGAGACAGGTGGAAGAAGCTTGTGCATGTGTGGAATGTGCAGTTAACTGAAGGGATGGGATTTTGGCAAGGTTGTAGCAGGTTGTAATGCAAGCAATGATTCAAGAGGAGAGCCTCTGGGAGGAAACAAGTAGGTCCTTGATTCTGTCTGCAATCCACTGAGTGGATTTCCTAGAAGGTCTAGTGTGTTCTATATAAAAATCAAGAACGTTCCTGACATCCAGAGACTACAGTGAAAGTTCCTTGTTGGAGACATGTAGTTTTGGGTAAAACGGTGGAAGAAAAATATCCTGACTGACATGAAATGATGACACCATCTTAGGTGGAAAAACTGTGGAGTTGTAGCTGAACTTTGTCCTTACACTTTTTTTTTTTTTTTTTGTAAAATGACTCCGATGTCAGGGCCTTAAGCTCTGATACCGACCTGGCCACTGTGATCGTGACTAGGAAAGCTACCTTCCAGGAAAAATAGTGGAAGGAGCAGGTTGCTAACAGCTCAAGGGAGGGGAAGGCATCAATTTGACAGCTCAAAATTAAGATCTCATGAAGGGATTGGCTGTCTCATGAGAGAGGAAAACCCATCCAAACCTTACAAGAAGCAAACTACCACTGGGTCAGAGAAGAAGGAGCAGCCCACTGACCCAGGACCAATGTGAGTCCCTTGGGAAAGGGACACCCGTACATACTGCCATGGCTCAAGCCACCACTGGAGGCAATTAAGGACTTGAGGTGTGAGTGTGACCAACCTGTTCAATCAATCTTGACCCGGTCTGTAAATCTGAGGCAGCCATACCAGAAGAGGGCAGAGTCAGAGCTTGGCATGTTATACTGTGTAGGTACAGGCTGACATGGGGCCGAGTAACTTCAGACAGTTTCAAGCTGTCATGGTGGGAAAGGCATTAGGTGTCTTGTAAGTGCACTCAAGGTAAAAAAAATGAGATTTCAAGCTGTCATGGTGGGAAAGGCATTAAGTGCACTCAAGGTAAAAAAAAAAAATGAGAGTGCAGGAGAAGTTCTGGCCTGGATCAAGTCCAACTTGGCTCCTACGTACTCTATCCTCTGATCAGGGATGAGGGTTGGCTTTGTCATGTTCAGGACCATGCTGTGCCTGAGATAGGTGTCACATTCCTGACTCACATGGTTCTCCACTTAGGCCTGAGACCTTCCCTTGACCAGCCAGATCATCCAAGTAGAACATTTGCACATGCCTTCTGTGCAGGAAGGCTGCCGCAATGGCCATGCATTTTGTAAAGTCGTGTGGGGCTGCCAGTAGGCCAAAGGGGAGGACTATGAATTGGAAGTGTTGGTTACTTATCAACTGATATAAACTCCTGTGGAAAGGATTATGGCAATGTGGAAATGCACATCTTTCAAACAGAGGGTGGTATGAGTCACCTGGATCCAATGAGGATATGATAGAGGGCAGACAGACCATACGAAACCTTAACCTTTTCACAAACCAGTTGAGATTGCAAAGGTCTAAAATAGGCCAGAGACCACCCTTGACCTTGGGGATTAAGAAATAATGGGAGTAAAATAAACCCCCAAGCCTTTGAACTCCAGAGGGAATGTCTCTATTGCTCCTAACTGTAGGAGCATGCCTGCACTTCCTGTATGAAGACTTGCTTGTGTAAATGGTCCCTGAACAGGGGCAGAGAGAAGCAAGAGCTTTAGAGGGGATATCCCAGTTCTACCATGCTTAAGACCAAGTGGTCTGAGGTGATCCAGGCTCAAGCCTGGTAAAAGTGGGATAAATGGTTCCCAAACATAGGAGAAGGACTTGGGATAAGGTCCAAGTGGTCTGAGGTGATCCAGGCTCACGCCTGGTAAAAGTGGGATAAATAGTTCCCAAACATAGGAGAAGGACTCGGGATAAGGACTCATTTTGCCTCCAGGTGCACCTTCAAAAGGGACTTTGTTAAGCCCTAACCCTGATTATGAGAAGAGCTTGGAGGTCTCCTTCTATTTCTGTGACCACCGCTTCTATTATAGTCCTGCCTGTGCTGGGAAGGATAGTAGCAAAACAGTGGCTGTGGTTCAAAGGGCTTCCTCCGTGTGGCCAATGTATGGTGGCCCAACAACTTTAAGGTTGCCTTTGTGTCCTTATGGAACCTGGAATCAGTCTGCTTAGCAAAAGCCTAGAGTAGTTGAAAGGCAAGTCTTCTACTGTGTGCTGTACTTCTGGTGGAAGGCCAGAAACTTGTAGCCATGAGTTCCTACACATCATGATGCCCAGGGACATTGTGCAGGCCATTGAATGCACAGAGTCTAAAGCCACCTGTAAGGAGGTCCTGGAAATGACCTAACCCGCTTCTACAAGAGGTGCAAACTCAAGGCAAGAGTCTGCAGGGAGGAGCAGTTTGAATTTTGCCAAGGAGGTCCAAGAGTTAAAATTATAGCAGCTTACCAAAACCTGTTGGTTAGAGATTCTAAGATAAAGGGCCCCCAGTCAAATAGACCTTATGGCCAAAGAAGTCCAGCTTCTTGGCCTTCTTCAATTAGGGATAGGCCCCTGATGGTCCTGACTTTCCTTGGCATTGGTCGCATCCACTACCAGAGTGCCCAGTTGTGGATCAATGAAGAGATATTCATAGCCTTTGGAGGGCACAAAATATTTTTTCTCTGCTCCTTTAGCTGTGGGCTGAATGGATGCAGGAGTTTGCCACAAAGTCTTTGTGGTCGTAGATATAGTTTGGATCAGTGGCAACGCCACTCTAGATGGCCCTTTGGAGGCAAGGATATCACTCATGGAATTGATTTCTTCCACCACCTTCTCTGCTTGTTCTGAGCTACCCTCCTAAACAAGTCTCAGTAGGATCTACTGTCCATGTCTGGTAAGGATGTGGATGAGCCAGCCACTGCTTC